GGGTGTTTGTGTGTCTGGGCATACGTGTAAGTGTGCGAGTGTGTTTGAGCGTGTGTATGTGTGTATGCATCTGTGTCTATGCGTCTGTCTGAACGTGTGTGGGGTTGTGTTTGGGATAAAGAAAGACCGCGTGATGATGAGTGTGAGGGAGAAAAAAGACAGAGAGGTAGGATGGATGTGCTCGGGACCATCTTGAATAACCTATTGCGGCCCACTTAACTTGGGTAGAATTTGAACAGGCAAAGATTATATTAGACTGGCACGTAACGTCACAAATTTCACTTGTCTCTCCCTTATTACATTTCATAATCTAACTCTATTTTGTTGTTTGATGTGGGGGGTTTTGTGTTACATTCCCTTCTATTTTTTTAGTTTTAGTTTTCTATGTGGAATTTGATTTCTTTATGTTGATTTTTCCTCGAGAAAATGTGTAGAATGAACACTAGATCTAAACAGATACTCTAACTAAATATTTATTTTAACTCCTGCGAAGGCTGAAAACCCAAGTAAATAAGACTCGGAAATAATCACCTACCCCCACAAATCGTTCCCTTAAAACGAACCAGAAAATTCACCGCAAGACAGATGAAGTGGCAGAAAAATCAATACTACAACTTCCTCCTTTGCTGAGCGCTAAGAAAAAGAGTCCTTGTAATCGACGGGCGGATTTTTCTTGAGAACTGACGGCATGAACAATTATGTCGGCACTCCATGGATAAACTGCTGTTATTTCTGCCATTAACTTACCTTAAGTGTCGCTATTATTTCATCATTAGGGCGGGGAGTGGGAAATGAAGTTTCGAAATATGGTGTCAATCCAAGAAGACTTATGTACGATCACAATAAAACCAAAAACCAATGAACATGCTGGAAATCATTCTCATTACATGTATTTCCCCCGACAATCGAGCTTTTGAGAACCTAGAAGAGGGTGATTCCTGGGAGAGAGAAAAGAGGAAGGTGACAGAGATCAGCAAGATCACAATGAGAGTAGCGTGTGGCCATATCAAAGCTTTCTAAAGCAACAACAACAACAACAAAAACAACAGCAACAGCAACAACAGCAACAACAGCAGCAAAAGCAAACAACAACAACAACAACAACAACAACAACAACAACAACAACAACACCAACAACAACAACAATGCCAACAACAATGTCAATAAGGGGTCATAAAAACAGCAACAGTAACAGCAAAAACAACATCACCATAAACAGCAACAGTAACAGCAAAAACAACATCACCATAAACAGCAACAGTAACAGCAAAAACAACATCACCCTAAACAGCAAGAGTCACGACAACAAAATCCTGGGAAAAGCACGACGTAATAGAACGACAGAGCGTATTTTCGTTTTTCGGAACTCTTATGTCTGACTGGCTTAGTGGACATTGCATCACGTAACGAGATAACACCCACGGATGAACAAGGATCACCGTCATGCATGCTTCAGAGTGATTCTAATTTATTGCCCGGGTGGTTGTACAATATTGTTGATCTCACGAGTTGTTTGATTATCACTTGGCGCACGCGCTGGAGAGTTGTAACCATTATGCTCACGAGAGTTGTCACATGCGTAAGAAGTGAGAACCCAAGCAGCCCTTACGCAAGGAAGGCTATAATGGCCTGGATCATATGACAATGCCTGTAACGGAAATTGCGAATATGATAAATAAAGGATGCGAATAGGAGGGAGATTATAATATCGCACTTTTTCGCTGGCCAAGAGTGGTTAAAAGTATCACATCTTTTAGCAGGGCCCATACCTTGCCAACATATCTACCAGCTTAGTGGCAGGTTTGTCAAAAATTGGCTATGATGAGTGAATCTTTTCGAGGTTTTGTAGTCAGTGTATAGGTGATGTAATTGATAGTTGTTATTGTTGCTGTTGTTTTAGTTGTAGCTGTTGTTTTTGTTTTTGTTCTCGTTGTTGTAGCTGCTGTTGTTGGTCGTGGTGGCGTTGTTCTTGTTGTTGTTCTTGTTGTTGTCCTTGTTGTTGTTGTTGTTGTTGTTGTTGTTGTTGTTGTTGTTGTCGTGATGCTGCCACTGTCGGCGTTGCTTTGGCTCTTGATGCTTATGTTGTTGATGCTGATTGTCATAACTGTGGCAACTGTTGATCTCAAATAACAGTAGATTAATACCGACCAATACCTCTAATACTCACCATGTCAACAAAAATCTTGTAAATTCACCAGCTGCCCATGCTTCAATGTAATTCCAAACTCAGCTGTATGAATGAATCGTTTGTATTCACAGCTGTCTGTAGCACGAACACGTAAGCCACCACAAATATCTTTAAATATAGAGCAAGTACACTGCTTGTGAGTAATCAAACGAGTTTGACCAAAAGAGAACCAGTCAGTGACGACAAAAAGGGGGATGAATGTGTCAATATATTATATCCTTCAAACAAGGCACTTTGGCAATTCCTTCCACAGGCTTTAATCTGTGGATGGAGAAATGAGTGGTAAAAAGAGGAATATGGGAGTGTGCAATATCACATCACATCAAGCCCTCTGAGATTAGAACAATTACCACGGAGGGCGCCTGAATCGCGGAACGTCGAGTTTGTTTGCCAGAGTTAACGTGTGCTTCTGAAATATTGATGCGACTCCTTGCTCGTCGCGCGGTGTCGCCGCCGTGGTGTCGCGGGGTGGAACTAAGAAGGAATGAAGAGAGCAGAGACTGGAAGCTTTCAGGACTCGTGAACCTCACAGAATCAGAGGCGGATCTTGATTTCGGGCAGTGGGAAAGGGGGGGG